AGCGCGGCCTTGCGTCCGCTGGCCCAGCGTCCCGTGCTGCAGGACGCCGAGGAGGCGGTGCTGAGCAAAATGCGCTGGGCCAGCAGCCAGCTGCAAACTTGCGCCTCCCTGGAGTCCAGCATCCAGCTGTGCAACCTGATCTCCAGCTGCGCCGCCTCCCTGCGGAGCCTGCGGGAGATCGGCCAATGAGGGGCCTTGACCCTTTGAACTCTTGAGTGGGCGGGCCAGACCTGACGGGGGAGCTCTGTTGTTTTTATAAGTTATTTTCTCTTTTCAAATCGTTTGCCCATTAAAATGATTCCGCCGATGTTTCCGTGCCAACCTGTCTGGTCACGTGACATACTTGCATTCAAGGGGGACTTGGGCCGGGGTGGTCATGCTCAAATTATTTATTTTTTGGTGGTGGTGGTGGTGGCGGTGAGGGTAGGAAATATAATATTAGCTTGCCTTTGCAGTTTTGCTTATTTGTTTGCTCTTGAGCCCAAATTGACACGTGCGGTCCGCCTCGGTTGCATCGCGGCATGTGTGGCTGGACAGAATTAAAGTGTTGGTTTCAGACAACAGAACGTGACCAACTAAATCGGAAAAGGAGACGTATCGCAACGCTTGCCTCCTCGGCGATGACGTCGACAGGCTGAGATGGAGAAAAAAACAACACCCAAGCTCTACAGCAAAAGGGGGTGTGCCAATCTCTGGCTTTCAGTGCCACAAAAAAAAATGGGCTGGCGACCGATCCAAGGTGGCCCTCGCCCCGAGTCAGTCGCATTCCAAGAATACCAGTTGTGTCCACCAGAGGGCGCCAGATTCAACCCCTTTCCATCGCTCAAACGAAGAGAAACAACTTTGGACTTTTTTTTTCTTTGTTTCCTTCGTACGCCGGCGTCAGCCAGGAAGCGGTGATGGGCGGGGTCAAGTGTTCGGGTGACGTTTGTTTCGTCGGAGCTCGGAACCATTGAGTCACGCCCCGCCCCTCCACGCGGCTGTTTCTGTCAGTCATCCTCAAAATAGCTCCCTGCTGTCACCCCTTGCGTGAACGCGCACGCCCACCCGAGTCATCGCGGAACTTGGGCCGTGCGCGCGCACGGCACAAGAGCGCGTGCGTGGCAGGATCAAAGTCTGGCCCGGACGTGAATCTTGAAAGACTCGACGGCCGTCGCTTGACGTGCGTGCGCGCGCGCGCGCGCCCCTCGCCTTGACCTTTGGTGGGACTTCCCGCGGAGAGACTGCCGCGCCGGCGCGCGTGCGTGCCGCCAGAAGAACTTGACGGAGCCACGCGGACGTGCTTGGTGTGTTCGCGATGACGTCGGTGTGGAAGAGGCTCCAGCGCGTTGGCAAAAAAGCTTCCAAGTTTCAGTTTGTGGCTTCCTACCACGAGTTGCTGCTCGAATGTAAAGACAAATGGTGAGTGGACGCGCACGTGATCGCGAGGCCCTTTGTCGGTCTTTGTGGCTTCCTTTGGCACCTCCGGTGTGTATATCTCGATCTGCAGTTTTATCTTTCAGGCGTGAATACAATTCAATTCATTCAAACTCTGAACAAGACTTCCCTTGGCACCTGTTGTCACTCGCTGCCAAGAAATAAGAGTCCATGCCATGAGCTCACTGGAAGGAAATGCACAGGAGACTCGCCAACTAAGATCCCCAGAGTGCTTGCTTCAAGCTGTTTGTCCGTTGTCCCCTAATTGAGGTTCCCGTCAAACAAAAAATATCTCCTCCTTTTAGATTTCCACGTCAAAATATCACCACGTCAAAGCCTTCCGTTGACAGAGCGTCTGCAGTCTTAATGACATCATTCATGCCAAGCACTGTAGACAGGCTAACATGTTAGCCTTAGCCTTGGATGTTGGACGATGTAAAAATCTTTGAACGTTAACAGTGCGTGTGTGTGTGTTCTCATTGTGAATGACACCCAGCATGCGGTGGCACAACGTGGTATTACCACCCAAATATTGTGGGCGTGTCTAAATAATACCCCAGAAAATGATGGCTTGAACAAAAACAAAGTCATTTCAAAAATGACTGCTTGGAAATTCACCAAAGAAACAAAATAAGATCTCGCGTTGGCTTCCGGAGTGAGCTCACCAAGCCGCGCCAGTTGTTTGCGTGTGTGCGTGTGTGCGTGTGCCCTTCCAATGCGCTTTGCAAATACGCTCGTGGGTCACGTGACTGCAGTGCAACTTCCTCTTTCACTTCCTTTCTAGCGGCGGACAATACACAGCACACAGGGCGGTCCGCAAACGTCACCCGACCTCATGACCATCATCCATTTGTGCCTCAAGCTGCTTCGAGAAAGTGTACACACAACATGTGTCTGTTGTACACACCAAACATTGTGTGCGTGTGCGTGTGTGTTTGTGTGTCTGCAGGCAACCGGACAAGCTGCGTGTGATTTGGACCAGAAGGAACCGGCGCATGTGCTCCAAGGTGAAACAACTCTGCACATGCGGCAGGAAAGTTTTCCAAAACATATCAAAAAGTTTTCCCAGTGGCAACCAAGTGAAGCATCACGGCGTGAAGTGGGGGGCGGGGGGGGGGGGGGGGGGGTTGCGTCATCTCGTTTTCATGGACGGTGGCCCGTCGCCCACCGGCCCTCATCGAGTCAGTCTCCTCCGGAAAAGCGCTTCGTTCTTCCTCAGGACCCGAGCGGCTCGTGCTTGCAAAACCCTCCCGAGGAATGCCGATGGGGGAGTCGGCGCATGATCCATCGCGCGACAGCTTCGGATTTGGCCATCGCCACCTCGAAAGGCGAGGCGGAGGGAAAGGAGAAGTGGAAGTAAAGCGCTGAGAAATGCGGATGTCGGGCGCTAAGGCGGGGCATCGGGCGGCCTGGATACCGGCTGCGCTCCAAGGAGGTTCTCAGGCCCGTATGTCGGTGAAGCGAGGTCAAGCCCGCGGGGGGAAGGGGGGTCAAATGGTTTTGCGTGATCATTTGAGCCTTCTTTCCTCACGCCCGAGTTGGCGCCTGTCAAGCGTCAGTCCAAAAGTTGGGAAGATGATGCCCGGAAGGGAGACGGCCGGCCAACCGTCACGCGTGGATCAGGCGATTCCAAAATAGACGGAGGGAATTCGAAAAGCCTCCACGATGGCTCCGGAGAATGAATTGAAATTCCTCCCAAGATGTGCCAATGTCCTGCAATGATGGGAGCTTTTGCTTCCCGCTTTGGACGTCTCCGCCATCTTCTCTGTCCGACTATTTTCAACTTCAGCTCCCGACAAGTTCCGCTCGATTTGACGCCAAGGCCGTGCGACTCAATCATGTTCTTTCTGCCGCCCGCAAGGAACCTGCTGCCTATTGTTTCTGAACAACACGAAAAGATCTGTACACCCGCGAGACACACTCAAGTGTGTGTGTGTGCGTGTGTGTGTGTGTGTAGCCGCACAGCTGGCAGCCCGGAATCAAGAACCCGTACAGAGGGATGGTCGTCTGGCCCGTCCCGGAGAACGTGGAGATCTCTGTGACGCTCTTCAAGGTAGCTGGCCGTCTCCAAACGGTGGGAATGCTCGCGGCCGTTTGCGCTGCGGTGACGCGCGTGTTGTGTCGCCGTGTCTCCAGGAGGCGGGCGCCGACGCCTTTGAGGACAAAGAGTGGACCTTCGTCATCGAGGGCGTGAGTACCGCGCAGGAGGAGCCGCTCGGAGCGGCCGCCTCTTCCTCTGAACGCCGTCCCTCCGCCTCGTCCTCGCGACTTTTCGGCAGCGTTCATCCGGCCGCCAAAACTCCGCTCCGACCGTAGCTCGGCACGCCCTCCGCCCAAAACATTGGTCTCGCTCTCGTCTGACCTCAGCTCCCGCTCGACGGGGAACGTCCCTTGACCCCTTTGTAGTTGCCGTTCCTTCAGCCGCTCCCTGCCACGGCCCAGAACCGTGCCCTGCGCGCGACTGGATCCGAACAGTCCTTGGACGGCGTTCCTATTCCTGTTCCGAGGACTGCGCACTTTCCTCCACCTCAACCAACGGGCACCTTTCTTCTTTTGTTCCTCTGACTCTTCTGTGGTTGCGCGTCTCCATTCTTCCGCCGAGCGTTTGCCTGCCGGCCCCTCGGCTGGAATATTTCTCCTTCTGTTCCTCCGACGGTCGGGAATGAGCTTCCGTCGTCCTCGCATCCGATGAATTGAAATTCGACAACGGTTCCTTTGCGCGCCACTCGACGAGGATATCGCTCGGGCCGGTCCTCTCGCCGTGGCGAGTACGCGGCCGCTCCTCTGACTGTCGCGTGTGATCCGGCAGGAGTGCAAAGGCCACCGTAAGGTTCTGGCATCCGCCGCCATCGACCTGAAGACTTACGCCAGCGTGACGCCGACGCAGACGGACGTCAGGCTGCCGCTCAAACCGCTGTCCGTCAAAGTGGTGGAGGCGGAGCTCAAGTTCTCGCTGTCCTGCATCTTCGTGCGTGAGGGAAAAGCCACGTGAGTCGCCGAGTGCAACCGCGCTTCGCCGTACAGCGCTAAGGCTAGCGGGGTTTGGCCCCGCTCATGTTAGCCAAGTGCAGTGTAGCCGAGCTAGCGTTAGCCAAGTTTAGCGATGAGACATGCGGAAACCTACTGTTGGCCGTGCTGAGCATCAAAGACACGCAACGCCTCTCGCAAAGGAGCCGACTGCAGCTCAGCGACGCTCCCGTTAGCTCAATTGACGTCCGCTGCGTTTCGCTTGGATCGAGTCGCGCTCGCGTTAGCTGCCGACGACTAAGCTGGCGTTTGCTGTGTTTAGCGACGAAGACATGCAGAGCCTCGCCAGCCTGATGAGCGTCAAACCCGACATAGCCAACATGAACGACTTCAACGAGAGCGACGAGGACGGCGACGGCAGATCTGCCGGCGGCGGGGCGGGTAAGCGCCGGCGTCGAAACGCTCGCCACGGCCTCGTTTTCACTTGATCTCACGTCCCCCCCCGACGCAGCCGTTCCGCGCCCTCTCGTGCGCCCCAATCGGCCCGCCCCTGCGCCGCCCGAAACGGCAAGCGCACCAGGTAGCCGTTGCTCGGACTGTTCCTCGGCTCTTTTGAATGCTCCCGCGCCCCCCCTCCTGACCGTTCCTCAGCCACCCCGCCGCCGCCGCCAGCCGCCGAGTCTTCCTTTGATTGCCTCTCTCGCTGTGTCTTTCTCGCATCGTTCTTGTGTCTGCTCCTTCTGAGCGTTCCACTCACACTTGCCGTGCGCCATCCCTTGACCGTTCCTCAGCCATAACGACGGCTTGGCTGTTCCTCTGCCAGTTCTTGTGACTGCTCCTCTCCTCTTCGCGTGCTTGTTGGCCTGTTCAGTAACCCGCCTGTGAACGTGCTTGCGACGGCTTCGCTGACTGTTGCGTTTGTTGAATGAACCAAACGTTTGATGCCTTCCAAGCCTCTTGATCCATAGTTCCATCTTCCCTTTCTTTGTTTTTTTTTTTTTTTTTGTATTTTTTCCCAACCACTCATCCATCGGTCATCCGAGGGTGCGGTCCCTGCAACCCCGTCCCGCACTCTCACCCTCCTCCGCCCATTGGCTCCACCCAGCTCCAAGAGCACAAATATTGAAAGCCATCGCGGTAACACCAAAATGTATGTATGGATTTCATTTTTTTTTTTTGGTCCGCCTTAGCGCCGCCCTCTGCCC